AAAAAATGATATAAATTGGGTTTATTTTCAAGTGAGTTCTTATAAATCTTTCATTTGAATTTGGATGTAAATCTGTGCAGTAATAAAAACACTGTCATGTCAGTAAAAGATAAGTGTTGGCAGATAAATATGTTTTTAAACTTTGATTATAGTAGAACTTAAATAGAAATATTATGAATTGATAGAAGTATATATGTAGGAATAAATTACAACTAAATTAGTGAAAGGAAAAGCTATTTTGATTTACAGTTTAAAAAAAATCATATGTTATGGAGAATTTCATGCTGCATTGTCACATCAGATCCAGGGGGATTTAGTACAAAAGGCTTAATTGTAATTATTTATTATTTTTGGGGGGAGGAGGGGGATTAGTTCATGGCGTTCTGGTGTATTCTTTTCATTTTACAATTTTTGAGTTTTGAGATTTTCTTTAATAAGTTCTTCATGTGTGTGAAATAGTGTTATTTAACAACTGCTTCTTCTTGAACTTTCTTATGTAAATATTGCATATTGCCGTCGATCACATTTACTATAATAATTAAGATAATTATCAATGGCAGTTGATGAGCCAATACTTAATTGAACCTGACAGTTTCTTATTGGTCTAGGTCTGATGAACAAGGCCTCACACAGGGATGCTATAACCAATCATGAGATCAGATAGCCATTCTATCAGCTAATGTTATTTAGGGTAAGGAGCCAATCAGTGATTTGATATCGTTGGAATCTATAGTAAAGTTGTATTGATGATTGACAGTATGATATTGATTGGAGCCTAGTTAAAGACTGTTTATAGAGCTGTATAGTGATCATGTGTCAGTTGTATTGTGAACAATGATTCCAGCATGTCAGCATGATGAGCTATTTAACTGCCCATTGTTGTGATTAGACTTCACACTACTCACTGAAATGCAATCAGGAATGTGATTTTCTCCTACCAGTAAATTGGATATAAAACTTGGATACAGGTACAATAAAAAAAAATTACCACCTTGAAAGAAATGGAATTTGTTTATGTGTTTTGGAAAAGTAGAAATGGGAGTAGAAACTGAGTTTTTATAGTAGGATTTGGTTTTATCAGAACTAGTCCTATTTATATAGAATTAGTGTAAGTAAAATGCATGTTAAAATCTTCTTGTAATTGTGTACAGAGTTGGTATGAATTTCATGGATAAATGAGAAATGTTAATTGTAATGGGATGTTTTAAAGACATACCCTGCTTGAAATGAATTCTCAAAAAAAAAAAAAATTCTTTCCCAAGATAAATAGTGTATGGCACAAGAAATGCATGATGGAAGATAATATTTTCTTTTAACAATTAGGATTTGAAAATGATTTTCAGTAAAATTAAAATTTTGGTAACCTTTTCTTAACGTAAATGTGCAATGAATTTGAACAATATTCAAAAAATGTCTGAAAATTTACTGGGTTTGTTCTTTTGATCTAATTATTAATCCATTCAAGTCTGTATTGCGATTAGCACTAAGGTTATAAAGGCAAGGGCTATAACTCAGTAAATGTACAAGTTATGATGTATCTCCATGAGACTGTTCCTTATTATATGACAGTAAAATACAAGTTTAGGAACAAACTTGACGTTGAAGATGGGTTTTTTTTAACTGTGAGTAATAATGGTACATTCACATATTTGTATGGTTTATCTCCTTTAAGAAGAAACTTTTGAACTTGGTCTATTTTAAGCCTTTCACATTTCTGAAATAACTTATTGGTGTGTAAACTATATGCATAAAAAAATATTGTTTTAGAGATTAAGAATTCCTAGATGTATGTATTAAAGCAAAGAGTTTTGAGCCCGTGTTGTCATTGATGATATCATGTTGGATCATTTTTCAGACCATCTGAACAGTTCATGCTCCAATAATATTTATATTATATGAAACATTCCATTTTAAAATAGATCAAGACCTATATGTGGAAATAACATTGATGTACCTTTTGATAATACAAAAAAATACAGAAGGCCTGGTGTTTCACTTTTCAAATGTGCTGTTTATAAAATGGTATAGATGTGTTTGTGAGATAGAGGGGGGTGAACAATAATGGCATGGCGCCATTTAGATTACTAATACCAGTAGTCTACCAGTAGTTGATAGGTATTATAGCTAGTTGATAGGTATTAGAGAGTGGTTTAACACATACTATATTTATAACTATCAGAACAACTCATCATGAATCAGTTGATGTCTGTGAGAGGGATTGACTTCAGAGTTTGTGATTGTGGAGTGTTTAGTTTGTGGCCAGTAGAGAATTGAGTAATTCAGGGAATACTTATATCAGCAATTACTAATCCGAAACAGAATGTGTGGTATTACTATTAAGATGATTTTAATGGATTTAATGATGCATATTGGTACTGTTTAGGTACCATTAGGTAAGCAATACGCATGTTTCAGAATAATTATTTGGAAATAGAAATAAATTTTAATATTACTATTTCATAAATTGATCATATTGAACAGATTTATTCTGTTGGTCAGCACTGAAATATAGATAATGGATCTATATATTGTTTATAATGATTGATCAAGAGTGGTCTATGGATGATGACAGCTGTAATCAACATCAGTAGAATACAGTATTTCTGCATGTTGATTAATCTGTCATCATTTATTCAGTGATAATATAATGTTGTAGAGTAAAACTCTTCAAATTTTCTTTTTTTGTCATATGTATATATATATCAAAGTTTGTTAGCTATATGGTATCAGGTGTTCCAGAAAGATTCATCATGCCCCGCCTCATGCATGGCCGCCATCTCATAACATGTTCATATTCGCAAACAGCCATCAGCTTTTAATGTTTTTATCAAATTGGAATAAGAGAAGATACAGTGGTGTGGTAGCAGTGGTGTTGACAGTGTTTGACTGTAGTGGATTGAATGTGCTATAATAAGAGATGGGAACATCATGTTGAGACTTCTATCTGATTTCTCTTGATAATTCCACAGCCAATGTCTTTATTATTAAACAAGTTAAAGAAATTTAGTTTGAACTGACAGTTATACATAAAACAATAATCTGTAATTGATTTTTGGTCTTTCGAGACATGATAAGATACTTAGGAAATAACTCTAGTTGTCAATTTTCTATGGATTTTATTCAATTTCCCTAAAAATGAGAAGATATGTCCTCTTGATTTTCTAAATTCTTATGTTATGATATTTGACATTCTTTGTGAAATGTCTAGAAGGGTAATATTTTTATTAACTCAGCCTATTTATAACCTGCTCCTAAGAAATAATATATATTTTGTACTGATTTGTGTATTAGTCTTAGTCATTGTAGATATGGTTAATTTGTATTTTATCTGTAATCAAACTAGAAGTGCCAATAAGTATATATATACCTATATTATGACAGTTACCTTTTCAATATTCTATGTTGATTTAACCATATATATTTTGCTAATTAATTCAAGGAATAATGTATTACAAGAATATGTACTGAACTAGAAGTGTGCACTAATAGTTATATAGTTTAATTTAGATATTTAATATGCAATAAGCTTGTGTAAGAATAGTTATCTATGATATATAATAGTATACTTGATATGTAAAGGTGTCAATTGCGAGGACCTAATAAGTGTAGAAAGTAATAGCTTGTTGAAATTGATCTTTATCCTGTTATTCTAATGTACAAACAACTTCTTCTAGCTTATTTCACATTCTTCAGGAAAACCTACTCTACTCACTAATTGGAAAATGTACTTTAATATAAGTTATAACCAAACTCTTTTATAAAGTATGTTTTGGTCAATTGAATTTCTGTCATATATTATGTACATTATCTGTGAGCATGTCGTATGTTATATATCAATTTGCTTATAAATTTATAACCTTGCTTCACCTATGTTGATGTCAGCAGGATCAACCCTACCTGTATTTGGTTTATTTGCATCAGTAGGTTTACCGACAGCTGTTAAGATCTCTATGGTATATTATTAATTGAATATAATAAGCATTCGTAAGTTATTTAGTAGGTGCAGTCCTATACATGATACTATCATGTCAGATCTATAGATGAAAACTAATACTTATGCACAAACAGAATCAATACAAATTTGATACCTGTCTTAGTTATCTATATGTCTACATTATATAGATTTTTACTCACAGTAATATCAACTGTATATGCAATTTCAACTGGACTTATATATCTGAACTTATTATGTTGATAGACTACAAATGGATTGTGTAGCATCTTTGTAATTCCAAACACTATAACACTAGCCTTCAAATTACAGAATACTTAATAATACAGATAAAAACATGCCACATTATGAAAACAAAAAAAAATTATGGAGTTTGATCAAAGAAAATACTAATAACAGAAAACATACTTTCTTTGTGAGCTTCAAATGCATATTTTCCATAGTAATGCATTAAGACAAAGAAATGTGAAAATGAACCCCATACTTGACAAACACAAGTCATTTGCATTAATTATTATGTAATAATGATAAGAGAAGGCATTATTAATTTATGGATCGTTGGGTGATTAGCCTTGGTAATTACTAACTAACTGAACACAGCTAATGGATATAATATAAAAGTGCATGTAATAATGTGGACACTGACAGATGGGTTCTCTGTCTGTTATTTGGCAGTTTGCCTTAATACCTCTGTATCTATATATATCATAAGCTAATGTGGAGTTAATTGGACTTTTTATGATGTTAGGTTTCACTTTCAAGTGTAAAGTGATTGATTAATTATCATGTGATATGCTAGTAGAAAAATTGTTAAACCAATAGGTTTATATGAAGTCTCAACAACCATGACACTGGTGTTTTTCTAAATCCTCCTGTCTTTTATCACCGTGTGAGTCAGTTCATCACAATGGCACATGTGATGTCATCGTGACACTAGATAGAATATCTTTTAACATAGTGAGACTTCCTCGTCAGATGTTGTTTTTTTTTTATAAAAAGTTTTAGTTTTGACATTTTCATTAATGTTTTGACTCTTTATGTATTTCAGATGTTTCTGGCCAAGGCTTTGTACGATAATATAGCGGAGTCGCCAGATGAATTGGCCTTCAGACGGGGCGACGTTATTACAGTAGTTGAACAAGATCCAGGTGGACTAGAAGGATGGTGGTTATGTCATCTTCGTGATAAACAGGGCATAGCACCTGGAAATAGATTAAAAATATTATCTGGAATGATAGATAAAGATAAGGATTTGTACAGTTCACCGAAAGGAAGTCCACGTAATAGTTGGGATGCTTTAAAGGTGGGTTTGTAGTTATTATTGCATCAAATTTATAGTTCCATATTATTGCATCAAATTTACAGTTCCATATTATATAACTACAGATTCTCTTATTTCACAATGGAATATGAAATTACCTTAACTAATTATAATTATTCTATCAACAAGAGCTGTGTGATTCATTTTAATAATGGGGTTACAAGTTTCATGAATTTATGTTTCTGCAATATGATAGTTTATTACATAAATTTCTTTTCAACTGTGACATATTTTGTTACATTATTTATTTTATCTTAATACATTTGCAATTACTTAAAGGTACAGTATGTTTTTTTCTGTTCAGAACTTACTTGACAAACAAAAACGCAAAATTATAGGGTAAAGCATGTTATTATCAAGTAATACTATCTAATTGTCTAGAATAACTAGTAGAACCTCATCGATCAACATGTTTAGCTATTGTCACATGCAACCCTGTAGAAAAACAAAGTGAGTTAAATCTGTAATAATGGTATTTTGGATAAGATGTTGGGATAATTATCATCTGTCATATCACTGCCATTCAACATCAAAGGATGATTAATTTTTATGCATGGGTATTATAAATCATATTATTATGATTAATTGGTTAAAACTCTCCAATTAGATCCCATTTAATGTTTTAGGTATTTGAGATTTACTTTTTATTACTGTCAAGTTAATATCAAAAAAAGAAAATTCCAGTATTTGTGATATTTACATTTTACCAAAGATTTCTATTTTCTCTTGGTATTGGGAAAATAATCATTAACTGTTTTGTCAGTACAATTTAGTATCATGTATGCATTCAGATTTACACAGTGTTAATATTTCTATTGTATGCAAATGTGGTGATGGTCACTACCTGTCAATCATTCAGAAATGGACTTCTTTTCTTTACATGTGGGTGATGACTCAGATTCAGACTGTATCATAACAATGTGCTCTCCATGATTCATTCACAAACAAAAAAATCTGTCAAACTTGTGAAACCCAGGAAGGACATGATTTCTGCTAACGGTTGTGCTCTGCCATTATCTTCTGTATCCAAATGTTAAAGGCTTGCGCCAAAGCAATTAAATTCGTGCAGTCATTTGTCTCACTGCAAACTTTGTCTTTTCTGACAGGCCAGTCATCAAGTGCAGGGAACGTCTAAAAGTTCTGGCTTAATTAATGGAAATGTTTTCTCATTTAAGTCAATTTATCTAAGCAATCTGTTGGGGAACTCATCAGAGCTCATATTTTAAAATCTGTTCTCATTAAAAAGATTTATAAATCTGTCTTTGTTGGTCTGTTACTGACTTGTTATGATTTACTAATCAATTGATAAGGACAAACAAATGACAAAGCAACCTTAGACCTTTTGAAGATTTAGTTCTTTGATTTTCTGGCTATGTCCCACCAACAAGTCAAACATTGTCTGTCTTCTCAAACACAAAGCTCATTTTCTTGTCAAAATTGAAAAATATCAAGTCTGTTGCTGTTTCATTTCCGATATCTTATTTGCCTTTATTATCGTGAGATGATTTGTACAGTATTATTTTAACTTTCAAATATAGTAGCAATTGTATTAAAATAAAATTTTCAAATTGACTTAAAATAAAGTATGTGTGTATGTATCTATATCAATTCTTAAAAACTTCAAAACTACACCATGTTTCACAGGATTCTGCTATATAACCCTATTTTAAGTACAAAAAGGAAACTTTATTCAGTCAGGACCTGACACCATAGTATTAAATTCTCAGTATTAAATATAAACTTTTCAAACCGTACTTTCTACACCAGAACTGGCAGTGAGTGGTCTTGATCTGGCATCCCCCATCAGGTTAGACAGAGTTGGGTAACCAGTAGCTAACTTATTATGTTCAATTAGATTTATATTACTTTTTGTAACACTACATGTACTTCTGTAAGCTAATAATTCAGAGATAAGCAATCTGATTGGTTGATGCCTTGGTTATAATGAAGGGAGAGCGATGAAACTCCGGAGATAGATTTATTATATCATTACCTTGACTAAGTTCGATGGTGCGAATTTTCTGCTTAGGTTAAGGAGCGATAATCAATTTGATTGGTTAAGACTTTGGAACTTAACAACTCTGCTTTTAATTGAGGTAGAATGTTTAAACTTGATGTTGATGTTGATGAGGTGAATGTCTTGTTTGAGTACAATGATTAACATTTCGAGCTAATAGGTGAATGTCTTGTCTGAGTTCAATGAGTAACATTTCGAGCTAAAGCTAAGCAGAGCTAAGCAATTTCATTGGTCAATGCTTTGGGACAGTATAACTTTGATTCTATCTGATAGAGAGTGATGAAACTTAGTGTATAATTGATAATCAGTTTGATTGCTTGATACTTTTGAAAAAAAAAAACTAAATGTGCGATAAATTAAAATTTGTCATCTATTTATTTTGGGATTTCGGAGGGGGACATCAGCCTCACTGTTGGCTTGTTTCTTTTAAAATATAACGAAGGTTTTGCCCATGACATAAATTTGCAAGATATAACTAAGTATGATTTTATGCTCTTACATTATCTCTCAATAATAATAATATTTAATAGGTACAAAGGTTTAGAAATTAAACTCCTTTTATTTTAATAAGTATAATGAAGTAAGCTTAGAGAATCAGATGCAGTCATTACTTTCACCACTGTGATTATCATGTATGAAGATTTGATTGCATTGTTGTTTAATATTATAAAAAGATCTATAGTGAACTGGTATGTCAAGATTCAATTGTACCTGAGTTTGACATGGCCGTGCACCGAATTCACTTTAGAAAAGGTGAAAGAATATTTGAACATGGTGTACCTCATGTGGAGAGAGGGGCAAAGGTGCTTCAATTAACCTAAGTTACACTTGACATGGAATAGCTGTACTTGACATTATGTGGTTAGCATGCTACATGTACTTGTTGACAGAAATGAAATGAAATGGGGTTCTGCACCAACTGGGTTGATTAAGGGGAAGGCCCCCTTGCTTATTTCCTTGTCTTTTCTCCATGTTACCCCTGCCTTCAGTGGCATATTTATCATATTTAATCCCCAAAGTACATAGTTGCACAAGTCCATTTTTATTTCCTCCTTTCTTTTATAAAGGAGGTTGGATTGGGTTTCTTTTATGTGAAATTAATTCCAAGTGTTTGAGTGAGTGTTTGTTCGGACTCTTTCATGTGAAATAGTAGCACAGGCGTAGGTTTGACAACTGTCCATTTGTAAAGACTAGATTTGATTGATGACTGGAAGCTGTAGGTACATGTACTTACAATAGTTATCTATATAAACCTGGTAATTCCCTAGATCTGTTACTCTACTTACCTTCTAGTACTAATACAATTACCTCCATTCTATCAATATCCACCATTATATACTCATTCATCACCTGTTTAAAGTAGTCTGATTCCGGACTACAGCAATTAAATATGGATGTATTGTATAATACATGGACTGGGAGGTTAGGTACATCCATGCACTAATCTTATTGACTTAGAATTTATTTCATTGAGAGGTGAGACATAGGTTAACTTTGGTATACTATTACAACATATACATACACCTTGATAAGAATGTTAAATTATCAGTTAACTTTTGGCCATCTGTGAATTCAGTTTAGTTTTACTAAACTTTCTCAATCATACGGTGGCTGATTTAGGACCCGCAAAAAAAAATAATATCTCGAGATACTAAGTCGAGTGCTCAAGATACTACGTCGAGCACTCGAGATACTAAGTCGAGCTCTTGAGATAATATAACTGAACACGTCTCGACCAATGTTTTAAGCTGTATAATTTGATGAATCTGCCGAGATTTGCCGAGTGATTTTACCCTTTGGCTTCTAATTTCGTTTCTACCAACAGAATTACCTTCATAACTAATTATGGAAAAATACTGAAATAGAAAGGGTTAAAGATTTTATACAAAAGTTTATCAAAATGTTGGTTTAAAATGAGAACTGTGCCGAAATAATAGTCTTTCACCTGCTGGTAGGACTACTTGACAAGAACAACCTTTTATTAACGTTCTTGACCTTTACTGATGACCTTTGGAATTTATATTTAACTGGTAGAAAATGAAATTGCTGCAAGGACCATCTTAATGAATGGTGTGGTTAGTAATGGACATGTTCTATTTGAACAATTCCATTATTAGTTATACATCATATTTTATAATATATTCATATATCTTGAATTAAACATTACATCCTAGTAGTTATACAATTACAAAGCATTTTTGGGGGGATAACAATATTTGCTTCATCATGAAAACATTACAAAGATTTTGCTTTGCATTTAAAGGGAGCATAAAACCAAACATAAAGTTAAGTAAGGGTGTGTTCACTTTTCTAGTTTGACTTTAGAGTCACGGCACTAAACTTTATTACCAGTGGGAGGAAATCTTTAAACTTAAATGCATTACACCTAACAGCTGAAATAACAAAGACAGATGAAAATTTAAAAACTTAAAACCATTTTATTTTGTAAAGTGCCTTGGTCTTGGTTTTTCTTTTCAGACATCCATTCAAGGTTACAATTGTCATCAAAGTTAACATCAGTTCATTATGTTATGTCAAAAGAATTTTTTTCTAGTGTTAGCATAGGACCAGTTCATATTAATTTTAGAAAGTTTGAGAATTGTAAACATTCCTGCATCAATAACAATTGAATGTATAGTTGTAAGTTACAGAAAGTATGTTACCTAGGATATTAATTGGTGTATAAGAATTTAGGTATGTCTATGCCAGCTTTAAATAAAATCAAATAGGGATAGGCACGTTTATCAAGATCCTTGAATATGTGTTAATATGAATGTACCAAGAAAATGGTGGGCTATTTTATTAACTCATACCAGACAAAGAGATGGAATTTAGAATTTCAAGTATCTGGTTTGAAATAAAGTATTGACAGTCCTTAAAGTCACCTATGACCTGGAATGAAAAGTATAACTGTCTGTGAATTCACAACATTCCAGATTTATTTTTACTGGTCTGGAATTGTATACTTATTTTTGAATAAAGGTGTTTGTAAATAGGTTACAGAAATTTGTCTATATTTTGGTCAGTTCTCTTCCTTTTTCACACGGGGGGTTGGATGGCTTAGTGGTTAGCACGTGCGCGCTGTATCATTTAGTCAACTGGCCTGGTTTCGAATCCCGGGTTGTACGTGACAAGGAGTAGGGTCGCCTGTCCAACCTCGTGGGTTTTCTCCGGGTCCTCCTGTTTCCTCCCACTGCTAAAGACCTCTACGCGCAATCGAATTATGGAAATAAAATTGAACCATATGTTAGTCCCGAAATGACCTAGTTTGTGTCAAGTGGACGTTAAACCCCATTTCTCTCCCTCTCTCTCCTTTTTCACACATTTTTTTGTCCCCCGCCTTTCGAAGAAAACAGGGGACTATTAAAATGGGTTCGTCCGTCTGTCTGTCTGTCTGTCCGTCACACTTTTTGGGACACAATAACTCTCTTCCTAATTGAGCTAGAATGTTCAAACTTGGTGTATGTGTTTATTAGGTCAATGCCTTGATGGAGTTCGAAGATGAGCATTTTCCGCTTAGGGTAAGCAGAGATAAGCAATTTGATTGGTTGATGCTTTGGGACACGATAACTCTCTTCCTAATTGGGCTAGAATGTTCAAACTTGGTGTATGTGTTGATTAAGTCAATGCCTTGATGGAGTTCGAAGATGAGCATTTTCCGCTTAGGGTAAGCAGAGATAAGCAATTTGATTGGTTGATGCTTTGGGACACGATAACTTTATTTATTTTGGGATTTCAGCGGGGGACATCAGCCTCACTGTTGGCTTGTTGAATTTAATCTGTCTTATTAAAATATGTCAATCATGACTAATGAATTATTATTTTTATTTAATATCAAAGATATTTAAGACTAATTAGATATTAACTTAAAAAGTAATAAATGTCATGTCATGTTTGAGTTTGAAATTTGAAAAGGATGAACAGGGTAGATAAGAATCTTATGGTGTTGTTCATTTTTGTTAAATATTTGCTTTTGAAGATGAAAGAAAATTCAGGGCTGCAGATTTTTATTATAATAATACAAGGAGACTTCAAGTCCAATATTTTTGTAACCAATAATACTTTCTAAGATTATAACAGACCTAGCCATATCATCTTTAAATGATATAAAAGAAACTATATACTTTAAGGGGGGGGGGGGGGGTTAAAGCAGAACATCCACTTTTCATACAATACCTTTTATAATTACTGGTACACTGAAAATTTTATGTTACGTTTTCAGGGAATATAATGTCAGCACTCAATGATTTTTTGCATGGACCAACCTTGTTTTTCAATTAAATCTCTGACACTAATTATGCAAAAGATATTTATTACGTAGTTATTTTTCACGCTTTATCGGATTAGTTGACAACAGGTGACATTATGGTTATATATAGTAAATCATTGCCAGGATGTTCCACACCTTACCCCAATATTTTAATATCTATGAGGTAAAGCAATATACCATCCCATTTACATTTGTTATTCAAAACAATAGAGGAGTTGTTAACCAACCAATTGACTGATAAAACAAGAGGTCATTGATAACTAGTTGTTGTCATTGTCCTAACAAAATTGTTTGTTCTAAAATACTGTTTATTTTAGAGGTATCTAGGTCAAAGGCAAGTACCTGGTTTGGAATTCATCAACAATCAATCATTAAATTGATGAGTGGGGAGGAGGTATTTCCAAATATGATGTACCTGTACCTACATTTAATTTTTGCACAGTTAATACATATTTTTATTTTCATAATATGTGTGAGAACCAGTTGAGTAAATGATTATGGAAGGCTAGATAATGTGTATTCTCAGTGGATATCTCACCCAGTATAACAGATATATATTTTCCTGCATGACCTTAGTATTTGTAAACAATAATATTGGTAATGACAGGAAATTGTAGTACAGTACTGAAGTGTTTATTAGAAATTATCACCAGATTTACCATAATCTGTAGAATTAAAACAAACTTAACGGATGTTCTCAATTATCTTCTTACTCTTTACACTGCTATTTTCACTCAAATTTAGTCGTTAGCACACTATTTGAAATGTGACTGATGCAGTAGGTAATTGGGCTTACACAAATAACGGTTTTAGTCTGTCTAATTAGATGATCTATATTTAATGTTAGCAATATTTAGGAGAGTGTAAATTATGTAAACACTTGCATCAGTAAACTAAGATGAGGGGAACTTTTTTTTGCAATGAAGTTACAAAATTAACTCACTGTAATTGCTGCCGTTTTTAAGCAAAACTGCTTCTCGGTCTACATAAAGTGGTGACTTTTTGAGTAACTAAGAAACACAGTTGTTAGTAAAAATGTAATATAATTGCATAGACTATTGGATATGGATTATTCAGTGAAAGTGGATAATAGAAAATATGTCAAATATGTTAAATTTTGAGTACTCATGATTAATGACTCACTGAAGATCTACCCACATACAATGAATCATAGTATGAAAACTGTAATAATAGGTATTTAATGGCTTGTATGTGGTCACCATATATAATTGACATATAAAACCAACAATATAATATGTGACCACTTACTAATATCAAATATAGGTTTATAAAAAAGAGGACTATGGTTATTATTATAAATGCTAAATACACAAACTGTCATTGTTAAATATTATAATAATAGACATGACCTAAATATAGTTTATTGTTAATCTGATTTACTTATGATAAAATATTATAATATACTTCATGGGTCTGAATCAGAAATTTACGAATTGGTCAGAAAATACAATTAACATTGGTTTGATAATTATTAATCTTGTTAAAGTTTTTTTTAAAGTTTTGCATCAAGATATATTTATAGAGAAAGGGATGGCAGGTTTAATTTATATAATGGTATCAACTAATACTATTATTTACATCTTTAAACTGTCATGGAGCAAAGAAACACTTAAGAAATGAATTTATTTTTTAATCAATTATAATATTGATATGAACCAGATGTAAAAGTCTTTGTTTACTCTGTACTGTTTCTTTCTCTGAGGAATTACAGATGCCTCTTTCATAATAGGTACATGCATATAATATATTCATTGAAAAATATTATCAAGTAAAAACAAAAGAATGGAACAAATTAAGGAAGCTACTTATCTTTTAACTGTAGCTTCCTTAATTTGTTCCATTCTTTTGTTTTTACTTGATATCATATTTCAGTGAATAAACTTAAATGTAGTGTATCATGATTACAAACTGTACTATTGAACCATATTTTGTTTTAGTACTTTTTAAGCTTTGTATAACATATGAACATGTTGTACCACTTATTATTCTATCAGTAACACATGTATTTTTGGACTTGTATATCAAATCATATTCATAATACAGTTAACTCTAGATAAACTTAGATGACACTCAAGTAGAAAGCATCACTTAATGATTGACAGTTGTGTTTTCTATATCTGCAGACTGTACTTTCCATATCATTTTTGACAACTTATTATAATAATTTTTAATAAGGTCTATAGCATTCTGGTACTGGACTGGGGGTGGGGTTGGGGTTGGGAGTAAGAATATATATCATCTTATAGAATCATTTAATCAACGATGTAGTTAAAGAAAAAAATAGTCCAGTGATTTGTGAGTTCTAAAGATAAAGCGGTGAAAAGACATGAACTTAACCATGTCGACCCATGATGTATTATACCCTCCTTCAGTTTCTCTTTACCTCTGTCCACCCACCTTGACCTTTTGATTACAGCTAACACCCACTCAAACATAAACTGCCCAGATATCCCCTTATTTATTGCACATAATTTACTAGCAAATTGCTTTTTGTAATCAGTTAAATGATTTGCTTCTTGAAATAAAAATATAGATTGGATCCTGTAAATTTGAATATTAAGTCATTAAAACTTGTTGGTGTCTAAAAAATAATGTCTCGAAATTGATATGTTGGTTAAAGGAGATCTATGTTTTCTTTGTTCTTATCAAACACAATCTGTAGTAAAATATGATTTCTACCTGTTAGTATAAAAGGTCAGGTTTTATTATATTTACATTATATTTATATGACGATCAATACCTACTTTATATCTAATACAACAAGGGCTATGTATTACTAATATCCAACTCCCTGGACACAACATTGACTACCAGCACAGCTGATAACATGAGATGACCACAAACAAAGACTTTAGACAATGTACAATACATTGAATATTGCAAATATATAAGTTCTGATGACATGCATGGAATAGAATAACATTACTGTGATCAGAAGTACTGCTACCATAAAGTAATTTTTGTCTGTCTATAGAACAGTGGTTCTCGACCTTTTTTTGTCAACGGCACACCTTGGAACACATGAAAAAATAGCGGCACACCCGGCTAAATATATATGAAAAATATTTGAATTTTGCAAAATAAAAACATGGCAAGTCATAAACGGCATACAACCGTAGACACAGACTAGTCAGACACATAGAATGACTCAAACTAAATAAAGAAGAAAAAAAACCCAACAGCTATGAGCTTACCAGTAGACACCAGTAAATGCTCAATTAGGATCACATGGTTTTTCGCATTTTCAAATTTCGCGGCACACTTAGGAAGATCTTGCGGCACACTGGTTGAAAATCACTGCTATAAAACAACAGTTTGTGTTTCATTGTTCTGTGATTATTAGTGTTAGTATTTGTAAAAGAAGTCAGGTGAAGAGGAACTATACTGAATGATTTGTGAAACATTGTATTGATTGTTTAAATCACAGCTTGTGAAATAATATTTGAAACTTGACTATTATGAACATTAATTTTTTGAGAACAATAAATTTAATGTTTGTATTAAAGTTGGATTTTAATCATATCAATTTTATCATTTCAGACTCCACCAAGAGAAACAATGGCTACAAGAGGCATGCAAGATTATGATGTTCCTCGCTCCCATTTACAAACAAGTGCTCATAACAGAAGCTCAGGAGATGCCAGTTTTCAGGATTGTTCGAACCAGTCATTTTATGACACTCCTCCTTCCAATCGTCCTGTAGGACGATCCCTCAATAATGACAGTGCTTATGACATTCCAACACCAGAAAAAGGCAACAAGGATGGATACAATATTCCTTCAAATCGCTCAAGTATGTTATCTAATGCATCCAATGATTCCTCTGTAACTCTCTCAAGTTGTGCTTCAAACAATAGTTTTCATCGCTCCTCCATACCAAGCACAGGTGATTCTGCTCGCTCTAGTTTGGATGTGTCTTCAAATGACTTTTATGATATTCCTCGTGAAAATCGTACATTAAAACAACTTTCAACAGACTCAGGCTTAGACCTGTATGACTCTCCTCAGAAACCCAAACCTGTGTCTCAAAGTTCATTTATAGACGATTATGATGTACCAAAAGGAGGAACATTGAAAGCCAATAAGTCTGGTAATAATATATCACGTCGAGGTAGTCTAGAACATGCTTTGGATGATATTTATGATGTGCCAAAAAATAATGCTCCTCGTGTGGTGCTTAGTACTAGTACAGGCAACCTATCTTTCAGCCGTGCTGTTAGTGATCCTGTAACTCCTTTAAATGTGTATGATGTTCCACCTCAAGTTACACGCGATTCAGTTATTTCTGCACGCTCTGATTCTTCAGAGGAAGGTCAGAGATTATCAACTTGTAGCACAGACTCTCGGTTATCGGATATACCAAATTATGATGAACTGTTGTTGGACTTGGACTCCGCTCTAGAAAGGTTGGTAAAAGTACAGCAAGATGTGTCCAAATCTATAAATAAACTTTTATCATACGTCAGCAGCACATGGCGCAAAAAAGAAAGTCTAGAAACCAAAATGTATGAAATCAAACTAGCCTGTTCAAATGTTAAGAAAACATTAAGTGAATTTGTTCAATTTGCAGAAGGAGCTCTAGGTAACTCAACCAAACTCTCTGATAAAAAATTAGTTAACAAGTTATACAAACAGTTAATTCCTCTTCAAAATAGCTTACACATGATTTGTGCTGCCATGTCATGTTTGGAGGAAGATAAATGGCAGGTGTCTCTACTGTCTGAACCCTTGGATGCTAACAAAGCAGATAGTCTTGGTCAGATTACATCCATATCTAAAGATCTGACCATAGATGTTCGTAAACTAGCATCTTTTATTCAAGGTAACTCATCTTTATTATTTAAGAGAGCCTATGAAGTTGGCTTTAATAGATCAGATTCGAAATGCTCACTTGATGAATCCGGAATTTATGCCAAGCCACCTATTGGTCCAAAAGGAGAGACTGCATCTAAAACTTACGCAAAACCAAGAAACTTACAACAACGACCTTTACCTCCACCTCCACCACTAGATCGACCACTGCCACTAACTCCAGTAGAACAACGAATGAAGAGCAGGAGTATGAATTCACTAAATGCCAAGGATAAAGATCTCAATGACTACCAAAATCAAAATTTAGCAGAAGGTATCTATTCCAATGATACCCTGGAAGATAACCAAGAGTATGATTATGTTCAACTCGAGACTAATGATGCTGCAGCTCATAAAAAACAAAAGGCAGAAATAGAAAAGAAAGAGTCTTCTGAACCTCCTGAGCTACCACGGAAATCTAGCAGTTTGGATAGTTTAGAGGATGAATTGTATGAAACTTTGAAACTTTCACCAATGCCCCCTAAAGAGACTTCTGCCCCAACACTACCAGAGAAATCATCTAGTAAATCGGCATCCTCCATAAGTTTACCTAAATCAGAGCCAGATGTAGAAACTCAGTCCCATCCAGATAAACCAGTAGTTACGGAAGTTGTTCATGGTGAATATAAACCAGAGTCTGAAATTGTAACTCAGCTTGAGCCAGAAACCCCAGAAAAATCTGGTCCTCCTGCTACCAAGCCTAAACCAACTCCACCGGTGGCTCTTCCTAAACCAGAACTACCTTTCAAGGATTCCACATTCACAAAAGATCTGGTTGGTGATATTGAGGAACAAAAGAAAGATCTTGCAGATGAAGTGATCAATAAAATTGTAACAGGTGAAGATCTTCAGAAACATTCAACTGATGCCGAAAATGTTGTGTCCAAAGACAATGCACCTGAAAATATGGTTCCACCAGCATCAGCTGAGTTTAACAATAGCATGGTTGACTTATCTCAGTTAGATCTTTGTAATTTTATTGTTGATGATCTCAAAACCCCTGTCAATACTAACAAAGATCTTGACTTTATTTTACCAGAAATTACCTTTGAAACTGAAAATATTGTGACCCTTGACACCAATGATAAACAAGTTTTAGTGTATTATGGTGAACAGATGGGAACCCATACAACCTTACTATCAAACGCTATTGATGCATTTTTAAACTGCATTGAAAACAGTGAACCTCCCAAGGTTTTTATATCAAACAGTAAATTTGTTGTGTTGTCAGCTCATAAACTAGTGTATATGGGAGATACTTTACATAAAAACCTTATTAATTCACAAGTACGCAACAGAATTATGTTGTGTGCTAACCATTTGTGTGATGTGCTAAAACAATCAGTGATGGCCACTAAAACGGCTGCCTTACAATATCCATCTGTAGCAGCAGTACAAGAAATGGTGGACCGTATTATGGATGTGTCACATGCTGCTCACAATATGAAAGTTGTTATTTCACAATCTGCAGCGTTATAGTTGCATTGTAAAATTGGATTGTAGATTAACATTTCTTTGTTTACTTTCTCTCTCTCTCTCTTGTGCTTTCAAAGAATAGAGAGAAATAGTTTTGTGTGTATCTGGACAGAAAATGGACAGAATCAGACTTTCCATCCAAAGTTTGGATAATAACTAAATGTTGTATTTAACGGTGCCCGTTTATACAATGTATATAAAAGCTCACTATATATCTATTTTGGATAGAATTCTAGATAGACATTTAATTAACAATTATCCTTCTTTTTAGAGAACATGTATATATTTATGTAAAATAAATGTCTATATTTAAAACAGCAATTGTTAATGCATACACACATGGGTTTTAATTTTTGTACTCAACTAAAGTGATATAATTTATTTCAGTCAGGATAAATTATTAATCTGAAATGGTTATTATTATTCCATTTAATTCTTTAAACTCAGTCTACATTTTACTTCATGGTGTGATATAATTTTGGCTAAATAGATTTTCCATACACACTTTTTATACATCCAGATTGAAATGTGGTCATATATTGTGGGCTATAGGCATATGTTTTATTGCCTAGTAACCCTACCTTTTTGAAACTATAGGTTCCACAGAGCAAATTTAAAATTTAGTTTACATGTGAAAAGAAACAAGTGTTATGGGGTATAACAAATACTGTGCTGTATGGTAAATATTTCACACCAAAAATGCATGCTGTTTGTTTTGTATTATTAACATTAATAACTCAAAAACTTGACTTGTGAACACTGTTGTTCATCAAATTAAACTGGAACTACTTCATATAAATAATGTAAGATAGATCAGAGACTCAAAAATTAAATAAATTTTATAATATGGTATATTTTTTCTGTTATTTTCTTGGTTTTGTTATGTTTGATATAAAGATAGTATGTTATAATGAATTATAAAGATAGTATGTTATAATGAATTATAAAGATAGATTATTAAGTCAGTATTATATAAAATGTGCTAATTATATATCATTTATAGAACATACTGAACATTGACCATTGTTCTAAATTACATGTATGTTGTCTTCCAAACATTGAACAAGCAGAAACTTACTAGAACATTTCATTATATTTCTGTTGTTGATTATTATTCAAATTATATAATATAGATGTTGTTCTGGTAAGTAAAGTTGCTGATCATCATTTGCAATTTTCGAACAATATCTAATAATTCACAACATAATACATGTTTAAATGTACTCAGTTGATTATTTAACATTTAGTCAAGAAACCAAATCAAAATATGAAAGGTAGATAATCTTCCAGCATGGATTCAGTCTATGAAAAGAGGTCTATTAAAACATTTTAGCAACGATCATAGGTGGCACTTGCTTCTATTGACCATATGGTCTATAGAGGATGCCAAATGTTGACAAATTTTTGATTGATATAACTTAAACAATATTGGAGTTTGTAATTAATTAAGAATCCTATAAATGATGATCAGAGACTTTAAATGCACTCTCTATTATTAACTCATTCTATCCACCTTAAACTGTCCAGTGAAATTATTGTACAAACATAAAATAAGTTTTTAACGGGCATTAATAGGGTTGTGCATTGTAAATTCCTTAGAAATTGACAGATGTTTCATAAATTTTGCTCTGTAAATTGCTTGGTATAATTATTGGTCATGAATATTATTCACAATATTATGCATGTATTTTACATGGAAATTTTTCATTAAGGAAATTCCTCATTGTTAAAAAAACAACAGCAATGCAACAAATTTATTGTGCATATAGATCTTTTCTGGTTTTATCAATTTTAAAATCTGTATTAGGTTCTTTTATTAACATAATTTTGTTACCAATGAGGAATTACTTTATAAGTGTTTTTCAAATCATGTGCCTTTTTGTGTATTATACTAAACTTCAAGTGTCCAATTAACATAATTGAAATAATTTTGTAATTATTGGATGTGGGTTTCATATAAAATTGACTAATATTGATCTCAGTTTAGTAGGAATATTGATGATTATTTTTTTTTTCATGTAAGAAAATACAATACTTCATTATCGTATATTTCATACATAAGAAAATACTCATCACTTTCTCCATTTCGCTAATGTAAAGTGTGATTTTCTCATTAGAATACCATCTTAAAGATTAGTGTCAAAATTTACTTACATTTATGCAAGATCACATTTTAAACATCTACTTAACATTGTTTTTGAAAAGACATCCATTGAACAATATGCAATTTATTACAGCTACCACCATATAGCATTTATAAGATATTTTTGTACTATTTTCAATCATACAGTCTTCCACATAACTTACAGCATTAATATTAAACATGGTTTAGATTAATATTTCAGTATGGAAATGTACAAAACTTTGATGAAATTGTAATGGGTTGTGTAATTTTAAAGTAATGACAAAAATACTAATTTATTATATTGCTTGATGAGATACTTTACAAAGAAGTCAATGGATAAAGTAGTTAAAAAGAAACAATGCAATCTGTTACAATAAAATAAAATTAATTAATATAGCCTATACATGTATGTATAAAATAACTATATAAAGTAGCTGTGTATGATATTTATTCCATGTTATTATTCCATATTAAATCAAAGTAATTGTCCATGTGAATTATTTAGACTGTACATGTGCCTTGCTTATTAATATTAATATAAGTTATAATGTATTGATAATTTAACAAAAGCTTTTCCTCTGTGGACAGATACAGTAGAATGAAAAATAAAGAATATAGGAGTCAGTCTATTATTGAAAAAAAGGGCTTTCTTTTGTTAACATTCCATTGGCACCCAATGTATGGTATAGTTGTTAAAACACAACTACCTCATAAAGAAAATATTAAATTTCAAGGAATTCCAATCAATTTGCAAAATCATGTGGATGCTCTACAACCTAAACTTTTATGGCACTGGCGCACTAACTAGAAGGTGCCACTTCAACGAAAGTGTATATTGTCTGAGAAAGTTGCATAGGATTTTCCAGCCTGATTTCCCATTGTCAGTGGTGCAGACAGAGGGTCTGGCAAGAAAATGCATGTAGTCATTTGGATGGGATGGAAAACCAAGGTACCATGTATACCACAGGATGCACATTTAAGAAGACATGACAGTTGGAAGAATACATGTAGGCCGTAGCTCCACTGCCCAGGCAAAAATTATATCATAGCACACAAAATAGTACAAAAAAAGCAAGACCTTAAACCCAATCGTATTATCGTTCCTTTCCCATATCTCAGAAACTGACATTAATTAAATTCATTTGGATTACTATCATTTTAAAAAATAACTTTAAAAGGTGCTTTTGTGACGCCATAAACTCTTTTATTATGAACCCACACAAAAAAAAACAACAAAGAACATTGTGACATGGGCTTCAGATCGTGAGTAACTGGAAATTTAATGTTTTGAGATTTTGTTCCTGTGGCTGCTCACAGCTCAGCTAGAATAATCTTGTCTGTAATCAGATACAGTCAACGGAAATTAAAGCAAGCAACATGGAGAGATTGTTGACGTGTGTCGGGGGTTTATTGCAATCCTTGCTAGAAACATGGTAGTAATTTTCTTGAAAGCTTTGTTCTTTAAAATGTGCACATGCATCGAATCCAAATAAATTTGAAAAGGAGCACACGTGTAGCAATGTCATATATTTTAACAAATGTGTTGAGTTATTATATGTTACATATTATCAAACGGTGATGTCAGTATAAACATGGGGGTTATCATTCCAAGATGCTATCTTTACTTGCCATTTGGCGCCCGTTCATTTACATGTACGTGTATATAGGAAACCCCAGCAGGCAGGTTCTTATCAACATAGCGAATATTCACTGCTGATCAGTGTGCTCTCTTGCACCTGTGTATGAAAAGGTTTGGCTTCAAATAAAAACTTAGTATCTGAAAAATGTTACTAAAACATTTCAATCTGTAATGAAGGTTCCTGAAACTATATTTCCTGCTTGACTAACCCGGAACGCGATCGCATAAATTATATTTTCAGAATCTAACCGTACATCTGATCACTAATTTCAGTAACCATGCATCAAGAAATCGGCAATGGGATCTGGACAAATAACCGTCGAAATGTCACCTTATGCTACCTCGGAATTCTGTCACAACAGATCCTATTGTATCGACTTATTCCATCACCAGTGACATACGATTTCCGTCTATTCTTCAGTTTCCACTGTCATTAATAATGGATGGGATATTACGAACATGTATCTGTTCTGAAGGCAGACTGCAAATTCGTGACAGTGTAATTGATTAAAACAAGACACGAAACACGTGCAATTTTAAACTGTCGACAAGATGGAGAACTGACCACAAAGGCTGATCTAAGTGCGCCTTTTTATCCACAAGTGTTAAAAATAAAAATAAACCAAATCCTTACGAATTAGTTATTTAAAAATATGTTAATAAAAAGGTCAAATAGCCCCTATCCGGTGTGGTTTGGGGATGAGAAAGCCCAAGAGAAATTTCGACTCGCTCGAACGGCGAACAAGATGTGTACCCATTTGTACAATAAGTTCCAGAATTGACACTTGAAATGTCCTTTTGAATTTATGAATAATAAGTTTTGTCTGTTCTACTACTAGACACTTCATAACAAACACTACTTTTATAAGGTTCAGAGCTATATTATGTAGTTCAGCTGTGAACGTAGGTCTGCGCGTTCAGAGCTGCACTACAAAGACTGTTATTGCTTGGAGATTTTGTGTCTATTAAAATTCAACCGTAACAACGCAAAAACTTACTAATCTCTTTATTTAGCGCCCGCTTCCACCAAAATGATATCGCAGACAATCTATGACACAAAAGGTCATTTATTGTTATATAAATGTGAACATCCATAATAAATTATAAGTGACATAGCGTGTGTCATATAAAGTAAACCTATTCTTCCACCTTTGTGGTTCTCAAGGTGGATAAAGGAAACAGTAGTTTATAGATAAAAATATAACCTCGTTATCCGTGAGAACAAACCAGTTGGACATTATGTAAATAAATATAGTTAGATAAAACAGCATGTCTTTTGTTCTCATGATGACTATACATGTTATACTGAAGACACAATCGTGTAAATCCAGCTTCTGACACCAATTTTTGAAGCAGGAGAATTAAGTATGCTGTTTGGTTTTATTCATAAAAAGTAAGAATACTTCTTTCAAGGGAATACAAGTAACACTTCTGTACAGCCCAATTAGCTTCCGTCAAAAGTTGATGAATACATTGAATAATATCTGTCATTTCATATACTACAGAGCATCGTTTTATGGCTCATAAAACAAAGATACCTGTATGAGTGTTGAAATGTAGTATGATAATTAAATTCAGTAGTAGTACATCCATATAAGTATTATAATTTTTAGTGAAATCTATTTCTGTATGTCTTATAAGGATTAAGGATTTAACAACATATCTATTATACAAAACTATAACATCGATATAAAGGTCAACTAAAGCATTGTTTCGTATACCAGCGTATCGAACCAAAAATGATCACCCCGAATCAGTGCGATTTTACACTTGGAAAGGCCCTGCTATATAAAATTTGGATGCTTCCTTAGATCTAGCGGAACAGTTTTCAGCAAGTTTGGAAAAAATCTCCAAAACTGTTATCTGTTAAACGTTTACAAAATTTAAGTGACGAGGGCAGTTGATCTGAGCAAAATCACTGAGCGATAGTCGAACGAACGAGTTTATTTTATTTACTTATTTTACAAAATATTACATAAAATATTGATTATGGTCGAATAGACAGATGCGACGACAATATGCTCCACCTGATATCAGAGGTGATATCAAGTGTTTTAGAGCGAGTAAACATATTGGAAGAACAAATTAAAATGTTCACGTGAAAATAAACAGCCATTTGAATCTCTGAAATGAAACCAAAATAATATACGATTTCAACTTTGTTTAAGATCTTAAATTTGTTATTTTGGTAAAAAAAATTAATGAAAAGGATACTGACATTTGACAAACAGGTTTACTCTTTCGAAAATAACTGATGAAGCTTTATGATTGATGCTAGTGCAAAAATAGAATGACTGTGGGTTTCTATTAACCAACCAATCCAACCGACACATTGTTTTGAAGGATTCTTGTTATGAAATTTAATTCAAATGTTAACAAAAAGTCAGAAGTCGCAATCACCGTTTTTGTGTGTATATTTTAAGAGTCATCATGTTTTATTGTTTCAAGGTAAAATGGGAGAGAAATTAGTTACATAATCAAAAAGGATAGTTATTTTAATGTAAACCAATTCTGTAGCTCTGTTCAATGAATGAGTCAAACCCCTTTCCCCATCCTCTCCCACTTGATTTATTTCTAGCATTTCTGATGTCCTTAAATATGAACCAAAATTTCTTGAAATATTACCATGGCTTGGAACAGTTTCAGTTTTTCATACATGAGAAAGAGATAAGAAAAGTTCGATTGCTAAGACTGAAATAGCCTACATTATATCAGCGGGTTTTTGAGGACACAACCATTGACGTCAATGGACAACATTCAGTACCGGTGACGCGGTTTGACCAGGATCCCAGTTGGCTCAGTTAATGGTTTCTTAGTAACCAAAAAAGGCGACCCTAAAGTCCCGGGTCGTCCTTTATAATTTTTTTAATCCTATGCAAACTACAATATCGTGAAAGTATATTCTGGAAAAGGAATGTCAGTCCAAAAATGGATCAGTTCCGTTTAGTATTAATATTCCAGTCTAGAATATGGCAATTAATGTCAAACTTTGATACTTAATGAAATATAAATTATACAAGATGAAGTAGCAGTCAACTATATAAGGACGTTATATAAATAACAGGCATACATTGTTCATGGGCGCCATCAAAATTGATTGTCTCAGAAACAAAATCCTTGAAACGATGGTTGTCTTGATACAATGGATAATTTTTATCTCTTGGGAACAATGTCTCCTGCATAAACAATTCAATGGAAGTATTTTAGTGAACAAATTTATCAGACCGTAAAATTCATCTCGCTGGTATTAATTAAATTCTCAAACTTCCTCTTGAAAATTGTCACAATACATGCAATGTAATAGTTTGGATGACTCTGGTTATAGGGGAAAGTGGTAGACGAACAGGAGTAATTTATCATAATAACTATAACCAGTGTCGGATTTACCTTGGCAGACTGAAGCCTAGGATCTTAAGATCTAGCCCTTTCTTACATGAACCAGCACCAGAGTCTTTAAACAATTGTGTTTAAAACTTACTTTTATCTCACTGTAGTCGTGTGGTTTGGTGTGGTGATGGTGGGGTGGTGGTGGTGGTGGGGGGTCACTCCCATTTTGACTACGTCCCATTTCGACTACACCCCATTTCGACTTCAAATTTTATTACCTTCAAAATCCTGACCCCCCAACTAATCAGCATTGAACTGTTCCACTGATTAATAGATGTAATTAATGTAATGATTATTGTTAAAATAGCTTATTCCTTATATATTATAGCTAGTTTTCTTTAATATCAAAGCAAAAATATCATCTCAGAGAATATTTTTGTTTTTGACTAATATTTGTAATATTTGGAGACTACATTAGTTTAATACTTGTTTATCCATATAAGATGAATTGTTTCAAATTTTGTACATTTATTCTTCAAGTTCACTATCATTCAGTCAAAAATTTTGTTATCTTATTAGAATTCCTTTATAAAAAATATCGTGCTCATTTTCAAATTTGGGAATTTAAAAGTAGAAATATTTGTTTATTTATTTATTA